ACGAGGCCCCTGCCGGGTGCTGGCTTCTGCCCCTTAAAGTGGCAGGCACAAACAGTGCCCTGCCACAGAAGGTCATAGCTGTTGTCTGACAGATCAGAAAGGGGAAAGCATTTCTCTAGGACTCCCACAGAAAGACGTAAACCACAGTACCTTGAATCCCATGGGCCAGTGCATGAGGTAAAGGTCCAAGTAGTCCAGTTTCAGGGCAGTAAGGGTTTCCTGGCATGCTTCTTTCACCAGGGATTTTTCATGAAACATGCACCATAGCTACCAGGAGAAAACAGCTGCCCTCAGATACTTTACCAAGACTCCTGAGTGGAACAGAGGTCTGTCACCCCAACCTGAAGCAGATCTGGGAGCACTGCCCCCCTCCCCACTTTTCCAAGGGTATGGAAGTTGGTGAAAATTTCTGGGAATTGATAGGTTAATTGAAGAAAACTTGCTTACAATGGGTTTTAATTAGATTAACATAAATTGTGACATAAAGGTAGCAATTAAATAAAATTAAGCAAAAATGTAAATTTAAGAAAACCCACACAACAGTTTTTCGGTAGGTAGAAAAGTAGCTAGAAAGCAATCTTTTTTTTTTTCCTTCCTTTTTTGCTAATGTTAGTTAAGGAGCAGCACAAGCAGGAAGAAGCAGGCACCTAGTAGCTGTGGTACTTCAAAGTCTCCATTGCTGGCAACAGATCTCTATTATAAAAACTCCAATCTAATGGAAAATGGATATTAAAAATCATCTATGCACTTTTGTTAAGCAGTGGAACAAGAAAATAAAAATTACTACTATATAAAAAACAATTATTTTCCTAACTTGCATTACCTTGTAGATGTTGCACTTTGTTATGTATTCTTTACTGCTCATCCTGCAAATTATCAACCTGCCTGCATTGGTCAGACTTAAGTAGCTGAGACTGTACCTTACTGACAACAAAGAGGTCTTCCCGTGTCACAGCCCCTTCTTTAATTTTCTCTTGGATTGCAGCCCCTATTTCACCCTGATTCTGGTATATATAGGCACAATCAAAGTGTCAATATCCAACAGCAATGGCAAATTTCACTGCATCTGTCACTTTCCCAGCAGGAGACTGAAATAAAAAGAAAAGGACATAAGTCTGAATATCTTAAAAATTATTAAAATGGCTGATTCATGATCACCCCCCCCCCTTAATGACACCCTTAGCAAAAGCCACTGTGCCTGTGAGTGATGGGTGCCCCTACTCTATCAGGCCAAGGAGAGCACCACAACACTTTAGGGACAAAAGGGGAGGGTGAGACAAAGTAGGCAAGGTGGGAGAAGAGTCAATGACAGGTGATGGGTTTTTAGTTGTTAATGCTGTGCTGTTGCTTCTGTAGGAACTCAGGGAGTGGGCATTGTGTTCCTGCATTATTTGGGTTCTGCTTCAGTTACTGACAATAAAATAAATGCTTCAGTGAAATTAAAGTGAATTTTCATCCATGTCCATCTGATGCCATGAGAAGGGTTGCTGAGGTGTGGGTTGTGGGGGGAAGGTAAGCCAAACGAAAGAAAATCAGACTTTTTTCAGACACATTGCACTAATGAAAGAGGACATGTCCACCTCTGTACTGAGGGGGCTGGTGGGGGGGGCATTGCCCAGAATGTGGGTACTATGGGATATGGTGGTGAGCAGTAATCGGGGTGCTGCATAGCACCCATAGTATTTCCTCTGAGTGCATGCAGCTTACCAGCCACACCACCCAAGGGGAGCTTTCAAGAGCAGGGATTTTATTACTGTGACCAGAGAAAGACACAGCAGCCAAACCAAGACCAGGTGGTGGTGGGCTGACCCTGAATTTTGTTAATGCATGGAGCACTAACTGGGTGTGTACTGCACTATGCAAAAATAAAGAACAAAACAACTTCAAAACCAGTCAGGCAGGTTTGAGTAACTGCCACTACAAACCAGCAAATACCTTTTCCCTACCCTTGCACAAGCCAGCAAACACACTGCCCCCAGTCTTATACAATTCTCTTCTTAAACATAGGGAACATAAAGTAAAGAATCAAACAAAGTGAATAGAAACTTTATTTACAAATGGAATATTAACCATAATTAAACAAACCACAGAACAGCTTTTATAAGATAATGATTTATAATTACTGCAACAGAGGAATTTCTTTTTACTAATGTAACGATTCATGAGTCATGAAAAAAAAAAATCAATCTAAGCAATAATCATCTCTGAATAAAACACCTTGGTCTAAGGTGGATTTTCAGAGCTTGACTGCAAACTTGTGGGTGGCAGAGGGCAGATCCATACCAGCCTGTCCCGCTCACGGGCAAGAGCAGGAGTGGGGTTGGCAGGGTTGATGACCAGCAGGTATAGAATGGTTGCTAGGAGTCTGGTTAGTATTTTCCAGTCCTCCCAGGTCTGCTATGCCTCCTGGTCCCAGCACAATTCCTCTCATGCTGGATGGCCATGAATCTGCCCATAGCCAGACAGATCTGTCTGATCACCTTGTGCAGCCAATGTTCACAGTCCCTGTGGACATTCACAAGCCCATTGGTTCATACATCAGTGGCAGTCTGCCTTGGTAGCCTGCATGTCCTTGGCAGCAGCATTGCAAGTAGAACTGAAAATCAAGAAATGCTAGAAATAGAGTGAAATAAGGATGCTTAGTGCTCTAAAAAGATGCGCTCAGTGAATCTAGTGAGTGGATAAGATGCAGCAAGTCCAAATTGACCGAGAATGGGTGCCTAGCCGTAGGTGGTAGTAGGCCCTGAATGCCTGCAAAAAAGTATCCACCCACTTTGGCTACTGATGTGTCTCCCTGCTGTGGTTTGCCCTGCACCTCCCTGTACTGCCCACTAACTCCCAGGGTCTTTGAATCACTATCCTACACTGTCCCTTTCTCCCTCTTCAGCACCAACCCAGCCTAATTGCAGCTGTCAGGTCAGGCGACAGGTAACTTAAAGGGTCCCCAGGGCTTCATATACCAGGTGTGGAGGTCATGTTCAGTGGTCTATCCTCCTTGGAGGAAGCCGCAGGTGACATGACTGGGACCCTGCTGCTATTTTCCACACTGGAGCTCCCACGATTCACAGCAGTGGATGGCATGAGCCTCTGTCCCTATGCATTTGTATCAATCCAGTACCTCCATTAGTGGCTGGAGGTATCTGTAATGGGCCATGTCATGCAGTGGGGTGCTCTGCCGCTGTGCTCTGGCACCTTCCTTGCAGAAAGCAGCCCACAGCAACATTGCCTTGAGACAGTACTGGACCACCATCCTGTTGTGCCCCTGCTCACCCATTCTCCTGGCAACTATGACAGGGGCAAGCTTTCATGCCTGGTGCAAGCACCACCCTGCCCTTTGTCTACGGATCAGCCACCCACCTCTCTCTCTTGCCACACCTTGATGTAATAATATTGGTGTAATAGTTAGGCAGAAGGCTGCCCATTATACACCCCGATATTGGGGGCGCTATCCATGGCTCCGTTCCACCCCTACACTGCAGCCCAAGCCTCACAGATGGCATCTCAGGCAGACAACTCAACCATCCCCTTCGCCCAATAGCTGTGGCCCATTCCCTGGGACCTTTGGCTTTCCTTTAAGCCCTGGCCCCATCTCAGGCAAGTCGGGACCCTGAGCTTCTCTGCTCTATATGGGTGTCCCTCAAAGTGGGCCCCTGGTCCTTTTGACCCCCATCTGGGTCCTGTCCCCAGCATTGACCAGTCGGGTCCCTCGGGTTAAGTCTTACCCTCCTGTCTGCACTCAGGGATCGGGGCCCCCCATTCCCGGCTCAGGTGCTTCACAAAGCATGCCTGGCCCCATAGGGTCACTCACCCCAGGAGGCTCAGGTGTTTCAAGAAGCTTACCTGGCCTTCCCTGGATTAGATGGAACATATAACCCACCCAAAAAGTGGGGGCTGGGGTTAAGGCACCTCTACCCACCTTTCATCAGGGTGGTAACTGGCCTGACATTTCCTGGGGGCTCCTTTACCACTGGGAGCCCCACCCACTCCCAGCAGGGTGTAGTTTTAGGTCATGCCCAGGACCAGAGCCTCCTGCTCCTACCTGCAAGATGTTCCCATGCAGCAGCTCAGCCAGATGGTATTTCTTGCCTGCTCCCAGCAGTAAACTGCTCTTGGTTATATAGGCGGCCAGAGTTCTAAAATGGCCACTGTAATTAAACACCTGCTGAGTGTTTGATCTAGCCGCACCACTGGTGCCCTGCCACAGCAACATCAAGGTAGATGTGCCAGTTGGCCTGCAGGCTGCAGATGAACTGGTGCATGACCTCAGGGTCCCCCAGCATCCACACTGGGCTCTTTGTTTCAGTAAAGGTCCAATTGGACCTAGACCTATGTGCCCTGGTCTGCCCTGTTCTCCCTTGAATGCCAGACATCTCAGATCAATAGATACTTCCAGCCTGGGGGCTGTGAGCTCAATGTATACGTCTTGAGGTGACAGGGCCAAGGGAAGTTCACCCCTCTCCCACCTTATTGTGTCTGGGCAAAGGTTGGACAGCAGACATTCTCTGCAGCTGTTGCAACTTTTGGCACTGGTCAGTGGCACTCACTTGGGACATGATGGCCCCAGGCAGAGTCGAGGCAGGGAGCAGGGCTCCATCTGCACCAGTGGTAGCTTTTGGTATCTTATAGGCATGCTTGTTCTGGACGTGTTTTAGCCCTGCTAGGTCCTTCAGCCCCATGTATGCCATGGCACAGTAGCAGGCTACCCAGTGACCCATATGTATCAAGACACCACTCCCAGCAGGGCATGGTCTGATCTGCTGAGCAATTCAGACACAGCTGGTGAGGAAATAATTTGCTGATAGAACTCACCTGCTATTCATAAAGTGGAAACACTTAAGGCTTATGATTGGGTTCACAGAACTCTGCTTGTTGGGTTTACATAAAACTGGAGAGTGAATTAATGGCAATTATGCTGCAGCCAGCTGAAAAGGGATGTTTTAGAGGTGCAGGGATTCAGGGGTTCATCAGGGCTTTTCCTGAGGAAAGTCAGGGGATTTTTGCTGGGCACACAAAAGCTAGGCTCTGTGATTGTTGCAAGTTTTGGTGCCAGGCAGCTGCTTTCACCAGTGACTGTTGCACATTTTGGTGCCATTCAGCAGCATTCACCAGGGCTCCCCCCTCCCACCCTGCTATGTCTGAGCAAAGTTTGGACATTGGACATGCTGCCACCAGGCAGGGTCAAGCCCCATTCACTGGGGCTCCCCCCTGGTGTCCTAAAGCATTCATTACACACAAGTACCTGCAAATTGTAGTGATACTTGATGGACAAGGGGAATCACTACACAAAAATTGTAGCACCAATGGACAAAGATGCTCACCACACATCATTCAATGAATGTGACAGATTAATGGCTGCACCATTCCAAGTAGCATCATTGCAAACTAAACAACATCAGGATGGGAATTAGTTTGTGATAATTCAAACTCACTTAAATCACCAAAAAGTTGCATATGTGTAATGTGTGACACCATTAAGCCATACAAAGGGAAATTGTCATGAAGTGTACATCATTTGGGCATCACTTATACAAGCTCCCAGAGTCTGCTAGTCAAAGATTTCTCAGTTTGCCTGAATTTAAATAAAAAAGCACCCAACTTCTTGCAGAAGGTAATGAATAAAACATGCACTTGAATTCAGGTTTTGTGATTGTCTACTCTGCTTCCCTTCAAACTGAATTTATGCAATTTGTTATTTAAGATTCTGTAGGTCCTGGGAGCATCCTGGGATAGTGAACTGGCTATGAAATATGTCAAATTCCAGTCACTATAAAATACACTGAACAAGTACAAACATGCTGCTATGATAATTGTTATATCAAAACTCTGTGTAAAAGAGA